CCCCAAAACCCCAAAACCCCAAAACCCCAAAACCCCTTTTGAACTTTGAAGAGTTGAAAAATTCCAAACAGAAGATTGGTTAATTTTTTATCGGGTTTAATCTGAGAAAATTAAAAATCGATTGGAATGTTTTGAAACCTCTTCGATCTATCTCTTGGTTTTAAGAGAAAGTTGGGATTTCATGTACTCTTTTACTTTTGATATCTCCATGGAAGGTTCTTGATACCATGGATGGTCTTTTATTTGATCTACCGTGATTCTCTTTTCTTGGTCTGGTATCATCATCATTGTAAGGAGATCGACAAGTTCATCAGATATCAGCCCCTTATTTCTTTTCTTTTTGGCTCTAGCATGTTTTCTCCAAAAAACGAAGGGATCCTTTTTGAACATGTGCTGATACTTGGAATCTGATTTTGTAGCCTTTGAAAATGGGTAATCTCCAACCATTAGGATAAAGAATGCAACTCCAAGTGCAAAAATATCTGCTCTGAAACAATTGAAAACCTCGTCGGTGAATATTTCAGGGGAAATATAATTTTTGGTTCCAAAACATTCAAATTCCTTGCTAGGCAAAAAGTCCTCCTTGCTTACTCTTTGAGAGAAGCCATAGTCGCAGATTTTGGGCTGGTAATGCATGTCAAGAAGTATGTTTCCCAATTTGAGGTCAAGATGGGCATATCCGCTATCATGCATTGACTCGATCCCTTTCAAAATATGTTTGAAAAGAAAGCGTGCACAGTCTTCATCAAACCCATTATTTGAGACATAATCAAAGAGAGTCCCATTGGGCATGAAGTCAGTAACCATGTATTCGAACTTCCTCTCCTCGCTCTCATGCGTGAAGGTGCCAAACTGTTTGTAATGCAACAGCTGAGGAAAGGAACTAAGCTCCGAGGATACATTAAATTCATCTACAAAAGAAAACTCTTGCTTGCTATTGATCTTCAAAACAACCTCCTGTCGATCATCCGGGGTCTTTCCGTCCTCTAGGAGTTGTTTTGCAAGATATCAGTACGAATATGCTCCTTTGCCGACCCTTCTTCCAAGCGTATATTTCTCATCAACAATTTCTCCTTCTCCTAGCATTTATGCTTATTTAAGAATGGTCTATATCGAGATGAGCTTGACTAGAAAACATGTTTACCTTTTAAAATTCGATATTTTTATTCAATTAAGAGACATAAACTTGGGGTTTTGGGGTTTTGGGGTTTTGGGGTTTTGGGG